GTAGACATCGTAATCCGTAGATGCACTGTACTTATGCAAACAACACAAGGTGGTGCTGTGAACAAACACAAATAATGCAGCCAAATATATATTCTTTAACTGTTGAATAAGACGTCTTGTGTCACGTATAACTGCATAATCCTATGACATAGTTGTAATCGTGTAGATAGCTTATATTATTGTATCGCACACACACATTCCCAGACTACAGGTATTTAACGCTGTTGTGGGTAATTGTGTCTTATGGTTGCAGTCGTTTTTTGACTTGAGAGTGGTAGGTTGTCAGTTTCTGGGTTAATCAGATAAGAAAGATAGATATTCATCACCCTTGGATGTTTCCTTTACATATCGACGGTAAAGGTCACATTTCCATGATGGAATTTATGGCAGATTATATGTAGCTATGAAGGGAGCACTACGGAAATGGTGCTAAGCCTTTTTTTGTCTTTCCATCTTTCAGTGACTCGCTGATGTACACACCGAAGAGTTGAAAGGCTAGTGATCCGAACCAGCGCACGTTTCATACCATCTTTATTCTTAAAAGGGTCGTGTGAAGCAGTGAGTGAGACGTTGGTTGCAAGTTTGGCATTTCGATGAAGCTCTCTCTTGCATTTGTTAGGTTTGACACTAAGAAATCAATGCCGCAATGGTTTATTAGTTTGCTTCCCACTTCAGAGGTGCCGGGTTCAAATCCTCCGCTTATCAGGTGTCTGGTATATAAAAAATTATGCATTGCGCAATTTTTTTATTAACTGCAGTTAGTTTCAAGCAAAGAGTTCATTCCACTCTCCTTCGGTGAAATCGGCCGAAACACAGGTAGTACGTCGCTGACTTGCGGCCAGGGCTTGCGAGACAATTCGTCCCTGGCTGTCTGATGCGTGTGTTTTACGGATGCAATTCGCCCTGACCCGCCTTACGGCTTCCTAAAACTTAATTCAAACGTATATTTAAACATGGATTTTTGCGCATCACTCAATCAGGTTTCATTGTGTTGGCTGTTACCCTACATGGAGCTGCACTGGCTTTCCTTAACCTTAAGATCGGATCGGTTTTTGTAAGATCTTGAAGGAGTAGTGAGGCTACTGTTGAGCTTGTTCGATGTATGATTATGTTTCTGTTTAATTTCATTCACTTCATTGGTTGATTGTTTTTCGTTCGATATAAATCTGTTATTTCGAACGTTTTTCATTCCCATCATCCGCGGTAGATGTGCGGGTGTAACTGTCCATCATTGTAATCCCTAGTGCATTTCTGTG